CAGGATCCAGAGAGAAGAGAGCAATGTAAAAAAGACAAGCCCTGGACTCCAGGAGAGCAGAATTTGGGCTCTTCAGGGATCTTCTTGGAGGAATTCCACAGGTTATGATCCTGGACAGAGGAGGGGTCTAGGAGAGCTGCTCATTTTCAGAGATTAGCTCCTTCAAACTCAAGAATGGTTCATCTTGACAAAGCACTAAGTCAAGCAAAGGTGGTAGAAGGCCAAAGCAATGAACAAAGGGCTCCTGAATAAACTCATAAATGGTGAATACAAAGCAGTCATATGTGGCTCAAAGTCCTTGCTCTGACGTTTGCTAGTGGGAAGTGCCCTTTCTGGTCTCCTGTTCTTGTTCCTCAGGCACCTGCTTCTGGCCAGTGCTGGACATGAAGTTAAAAGGATCTTTGTTCTTAGCAAAAAACCTCCTCTGTGCTCTGAGACAAAGAGAAAAACATAATGCTGAGCTTAAAAATGGAAACATCTAAATACAATAGGTTAATGCCCACTTTTTCAATTTGAGCTGGTGATCAGATGTCTAAAATGACATGTTTGTAAGATCCAAGATCTGATGTTGAATGTTGAAGAAATTAGTTTTGCGTAAAAAGATTTTTCTGCTGTTTGATTCTGGCAATTGAATTTGTGTATGTGCACAGAGTTGTCTGAGGAAAAATAGACCATGTAGGGCACCATGTTTCCACCTTCAGAGCATGGAAGTGAGATAGTTCGTGTGTGATGGTTCAGTCATTTTAAATCACTGTGGTACGTACTCCACACTGTGGTAGACAGTTTTACAAAAATATTTTTTTTTCAGTGCCAGGTGATGTCTGCTCTTTCATGTCTTTGAGGAGCTGGCTTTTATTTTCCTGTTCCTCTACACTGTTCTACTTCTGAACATCTAATACTACTCCAGAGGATGCTCTACACTAAAAATAACATTATCATTACTGCTTTTTCTGACAGATAAGGTAGTTAGCATTAAAAATTGCCCATGCTTGTAGAAAAGGAATTTTGCTGTTAGAACTGTTCTCACTGACAGGATCTGATTACTGGTTTGTCTTTTAATAAACATCAAGAGAGTTAGGGTGAAATATTTTAGAGTATCTGGAGACCAGCTGGGTATCAGCAGCAGGTATAATAATTTTCAATTTATTTTCATTCTGTATTTCCTAACTTTTTCTGGACCTTCAAGCATTTCTGTCCTCAAAGTCTATTTTCACTCCAAACTAAAAATCAGTTCATGTTTATGAATTGTTCAGAAGTTATTTTGGTTTAGCTGATAGTTGCCTTTTAATTTGATTTTTATCTTACTTTTGTGATTTTTATTAGTGGTAACTTGGAATTGTGGAGCAGTTTCCTAATCCTCAGATCCAGTTCTAAGATACAAAACCAATATAGCATTATTTCATCCTGTTTGCATTATCATTGTCACCAAGTGTATTCCTCATTTGTAATCAACAGTTTTTAATCCCAGTGCTGCTATTTTCCATTGTTAACATGGGCAGGTTCATCTGCTCTTCCCTTTAGTGTGTCAAATTGTTTTCTCCTCCTTATTGCTTCACTGCTTTGGGAAAGCTGTGGAATGTGCTGATGTGATACCTTCAGCCTGACATGACAAAGAGAACAAGCTCAAAACACCTCCTGCAACAGGCCTAGGCTCACACAGGTGCCTCTCACACACCCTTCACTCGCTGGCAAATCTTCCCCAGCAGGGAGACCTCGCCCTGCTTGTCCCTGAGATCTCAGAGGCCGTTAAACAGCCCGTTCCCATTGCAGTGCCACAGAGCACAGCTGTGCTCACAGCCTCCCACGAGCCACACGCTTGAATCCCTTTGGCTTAAAGTTGAGTTCTGCCGTTCTTTTGTCTATGTCTGTCCCGGTGCAGGCCCTCCAAAAAATTACTGGAGGTGCCCCAGTACTGTCAGTGACGTGTTGGAGAGAATGTTTAGGTTGTGTTCCACTACATGATACTGAAGAGCCCTCCTTGAGTTCTGCTTCAGAGGAAACAGGAACAGAGGGAGTCCCCCTCTCCTCTAGAAATGTGTCACAGGCAGATGAAGACACATTTCAGAGGTTGTTTGAATTCCTTCGGTCCTTGCTGAAAGGTTGACACTGCTGTTTTCCAGAAAAAAGTATCCTGGCCCTTCCAGCATAATTCTTCTTGTTCCCCCAAAATCTCCATTTGTATTTTAACAAAATTTTCTCCTTTTTTTGGTGGGGAGATGGGGGGGACCAGCTCACTCTGAGCCTGTTTTCACACACACCCACCTGATTTCATCACACATTTACAAGAGCCTGTGTCCGTGGATTTTTATTGATGGAGAGCTGGTTCTGGAATACCTGGGTCAAGAAGGCAACTTTTCTCTTAAAGGCTGTGCTGGGAATTCTGTTCTTCTGTGGACAGAGCCATCCCATTCAACCTTTCTTCCAAAACAGATGTTATTGGTCATGGATTCTCTAGAGACACTGTAAGGGATCATAGGAAACTAGATATTTAAGGTGAAACAGTAAGTCACAACGTTCCCTGTGGAGAGGACAGGTAAAAGCAGTGATTTGAAAAAGTGAGTTACAATGTCTGTTGGGGGAAGTCCCTGAGCTGCTGACACCTACAAGAAAAGAGGGCGGTAACAGAAGAAATAAAGTGGCCTTTCCTTTGTATTTGTAGCCTTTGCAAGACATTTGACAATGGCCTGACAGTCTCCTGTGTTGAATGGCTCTTAGATTAATCCACTGCAGCAATTCTTCCACAGAGCCAAATGGGGGGCAAAGTCTGGGGACAAATGACCCTCCGGCATCTGCAGCTCTTGTAGAGGATGCCTCGGGCACTGTGCCCATGTACACAAGCACATGGATGCATTTGCATGGGTCTCCAAATACCTTCCCTGAAAATCTACACTTCCAAGTAAAGAAATGAATGGTCAGTCCTCAGGATAAGAACACCTGTGTTTATTCACATGGAACCAAAGACAGGAGTGCAGAGAAGGAATTTTTTTAATCATCTCCTGGGAAAAAAACATCTTGGCAGTGCAGTTCCTGGTGCAGGGCCACTCTCTTCTAAGATACCATTAATTGACTATGGTTATGGGCTGCTGCAACATTCCTGTGAGACTCCCTAAACAATATGAAGTGTCCAAATGCAGTTGACTTCTGCCTTTCCATGTTAAAATTTTAACTCATTCAATGCTCATTTGTGTCTTTGTCATGGTTTCACCACAGATGGCAACTCAGGACCACACAGCTGCTTTCTCCTTTCCCCTTGGTTGGACGGGGGAGAGAATTGAAACAGTAAAAATGAGAAAATTCATGGGTTTAATAAAGAACTCAACAGTTTAATAAATAAAGCCAACACTGTGAGTACAAGCAAAGCAAAGCAAAGAATTCATTCACTAGTTCCATCAACACCCAAGAGTTCTGCCTACTCCAGAAAAGCACAGAGGTTACATGGAAATGCAAATGCCATCACTCAATGTCCCCCCCTTCCTTCTTCTTCCCCCATCTTTAAATGCTGAGCATGATGTGATACGGTCTGGAATACCCCTTTGGTCAGTTGGGGTCAGCTGAACCAGCTGTGCTCCCTCTCAGACTTTGTGCACCCACAGCTACTCCCTGGTGGGTGGTAAGGAGGAGCAGAGGAGGCCTTGACTCTCTGTCAGCACTGCTCAGCAATAACTAAAACACCCCTGAATTATCAACACGGTTTCCAGCACAAATTCAAAATATAGTCCCATTCTAGGTACTATAAAGAAATGTACTCCAGCCAGAACCAGCACATTATTTAATAAAAACAAACAACCAAACAAAACCAAATCCCCAAATGCCCTGTTTCCCTGGCTCTTTCTGCCTGTGGGAGATACTGAGAAGGAAGTGATAAGTTAACAACATGTTCGTGGTTTGGGGTGTGCTTGTGGGAGACTGCTGCTGTTATTGCTACTGTTGCATCTGTGTCTGGGAAAAGACAGCCCAGACTAGTCTTGAGAAGTCTGGGAAGAGTCTTGCCTCGCAGCAACCCCAAAAGACCCCACTGGATTAAAGCCCCTCCTTCCAGTTCTGCCCTGGCCCTGCCTGTGTTTCAAGCACTGTGCCCTTTTCAAGTTCTCGAGTGCTGCAGAAATAGGTGGCCGTGTCTGCAGCTGTTGGTGAGAGCACTTCCAGCAACAGCTGGTTCCTGGAGGGGTCTGCAGAGCTGGTGACTCGGGTCTGGAAGGATGAAGCGATGTGCTGGAGCCCTGTGAAAGGATATTGCAGCACTATGTGCTGCAGCTCTTTGCCAGGAGTCTGCCGGATCCAGTCCCATGCGTAGCTGCTGTCGGTGATGGGGACACCAGAGATGTGACAGGTAAGCGAGACAGACTCTGACATCTTCCCTCCTGTGGGGCCTGAGGCCTTTGTCTGCACTTGGGAAAGCCCATCTGCAACCCCAGGAGACAAGGATGAACAGACAGGAACAGCTTAAGCAGTCACTTAAACTGCTCCACCACATCCCTGGGTTTCTGCTTGTGATCTCCAGGATCCAGCAGCTGCAAAACCTTGCTCCCTTTAGAATCTCAGATCTGGTAAAGAAACACAGGGTTCCGTAATCTTCCACTGAGCTCCCTAATGACCATCTAGAATTTCCCCATTTCCTCTTCTCACCCCTCAGGGAGCAAAACTCATGAGCTAGACTGAGTGAACATGAGCCCTGCCCAAAACCACAGCAGGGCTGTTCACACCTCACCATTTGCACTGGGTACCCGTAATACTGGGAACCAAGGGAAACAGGAAAAGTTGCTTCTAAAGGTGAAGCAGTCTGGGAGGTGAGAGATGAGCTGACTTGAAAATTGAGGAGAAGACAAGCAGAAGGGTTAGAGCTCATTAGAGGACAGCAAAAGGTACATTCAAACATTTGAAAATTCTATGCTGTGACTACAGGACTCTTTGGGAGCAAACCTGCACATCTGTGGGACACAACCCCTTCCAGCTCCGAGGCTGGGACACTGACGGGTGGTTTGTGTTCAAGCTCAGCCGATTTCGTATCTCTGTGCAAACAGCACAGAAGTAGCGGGCAGAGTCCCCAGCGTGCAGGAGGTGCAGGCTGAGAGATGCCTCAGAGCGGGAATTGTCCCGGGAGGCTGAGGCTCGACCCTCCACTGCTGGCCCAAACTGAATCTGTGATGAATAATGGCTTATCCAGGACACCCACTCGACCCCCACTCTGGGTGCCTGACGGTACCAGCGAACATAATGATTCTCGAAGGTGAAGCCGGACCCGCGGCAGGAGAGGAGCACGGACTCCCCGGGCGCTCGGTGCCCTCCGCCGGCCTCCTCCAACCTCAGCTGTGCCCACAGCCCTGCGGGGGAGAGCGCAGGAATCGGGCAGGGCGCGACCACGGACCGAGCGTGTTCCCCCACTGCCCGGTGCCCTCAGCCCCGGCACGGACACAGCCACCGCCACCGCCGCCTCCCCGCTTTTGTTCCAGCCTCTGCCCCTGCCCCTGCTCCCGCCTCTCCTCTCCCGCTCCCTCCTTCCCCAGCGCCGGGCTCGCTGCCCTCCCCGCCCGGCTCTCACCTGCCGGCCCCACAAGGCCATGTGGTATGGAATCGGCCCTTGGCCAGTTGTGGCCAGCTGTACAGCTGGCAGGCAATATGAGAAGCAGAGAAGACTTGGTGCACTGTTCAGCAGTGGCTAAGTCATTGCTGTGTTATCAGCATGGGTTTGGCACAAAACAGAGCAGCTGCCCAGACAGGCTGCTACCGAGAAATTTAATCCCCACCAAACCAGACCAGTACACCTTTGCTGGTTGACCCTGCTTTAAGCAGGATGATTGAATGAAACCTTTCGCAGAGATCCATTACTCTGGATGAGTATCAGTAGTTCAGAGGGGAGAAAATGTGTTATCAACTGACTGAAAGCCCCATTCCCCATCCCAGTGCCCTGGTCAGGGTGAGGGGATATTTCTAGCTTTGTCCTTATTTCTCATTATCCATCTTTAATTTTATTGACAATAAATGAAATTCATATCCCCATGGCCATACCTTTGCCCATGACGGGAACTGCTGGGACAGCTCCCTGTCCTGATCTTGACCCGGAAGTCTTTCATTGTAAACTTTCCCCCTGCTCAGTTTTGGAGGGGGACTGAGAGAGTGTTTTGGTGGGCACCTGGTGGACAGACAAGGTCAACCCTCCACACCTTCTCTACTTCTTCTTCCCGATCAGGTGATCTGTAGCAGCCACCCAGAACAATGTCATCTGTTGCTCTGTCTTTCCTGAACAGCCTGGCTCCATCCTCCACAGAACTGGAACTGGAAGATACCACAACACATCTCCATGATCCC